CAGGCTGGCCTCGAACTCACAGAGATCCGCCTGGCTCTGCCTCCCGAGTGCTGGGATTAAAGGCGTGCGCCACCAACGCCCGGCTTAAAGCTTTTTTATTATGCATTTATTATGCCTGTATAAATGTCTGTGCATCACTTGTGTGCTGGTGCCTGTGAAGGCCAGAAGAGGGCATCTCCTGGGACTGTAATTACAGACAATTGTGAGCCACCACGTGGGTGCTGGGATTTGAACACCCCAATTTCTCGGGGAAAAGCAGCCAGAGTTCTTAACCACTGGGCCATCTCTCCAGTCCCCTACACAAATGCCATTTTACAAATCTAAGTATTTCTGAAAAAATTTAAGGGGAAAACTAGCTCTCAATCTTTACTTCATAATAAATGGAGCATTTATTACCTACACAAAGGATTTGAGTCTAGTACCTAAATTCTTTTATCAAGCATTTGTTCAATCCCTCTAACATAAATCCTAGAATACAAATATAGTAAGATTATAAAAAAAATAAAAAACTTACTGACATGTCAAGTAATTGGACCATAAAACACTGTGTGAACGAGTAGAGCTATTGTTAGGCTTTTTGATAGGTATTCTCTACACTTATTACATTAAATCCTGAGAACAACCATCTCCTAAGTCTAGGAAAGGAAGCTGAAATACAAGATCTCTGCCCACAGTCAGACTAGATGGCACAGCTGGGCTTAAAATGAACACTCTTCACTGGACTACAGCGTCCCTCCTTAACATCAAGCATTCATCCTACAGAAAGTTACTTACTGGTGACTAAGGAAATGGGTTTTCCTTGAGGGTGATATTCTTTACAAAGAAACAAACTCACAGTTTTTAGTTCCATCAGGACTTGTTCATCCACTCCATCATCCAGAAAGATGTCTCGGACATCATTAATAACATCTTCAATCACAGATCTATACAATTTAGGCTTTAAAGGAAAAATAAGATTCAATAAGACTGATTTCAAAAGTTTAGCAGCCTTTAAGAAATCCTTAATTAAGTATCTGATCCTTAAATACAAGCCATTTGGTCAACTATCTAAAATTTACTTTAAATTGTGCCTTTAAAGATAGCAATCCTAAACCAGACTTATCACTTGGAAAGCACAGACAGGAGGATTTCAGAGTTCCAAGCCAGCCTAGTTTACATAGAGAGACCCTGCCTTAAAAATAAACAAAAGCGGCCGGGCGGTGGTGGCGCACGCCTTTAATCCCAGCACTCGGGAAGCAGAGACAGGCGGATCTCTGTGAGTTCGAGGCCTGCCTGGGCTACCAAGTGAGTTCCAGGAAAGGTGCAAAGCTACACAGAGAAACCCTGTCTTGAAAAAACAAAAATAAATAAATGAATAAACAAAAGCAAAACAAACAAAAACACCCAGTAAAACATATTTTGGTCTCATTAAACTGGTTTTGATAACTACATATTTTATAGAGGTATAAGGCTATGCAATGGAGTTCATAAACCAAAATTCTTTATATACTGACAGTTCATACAAATCCCAGTTATAATTTCCTTGATTGTGAGCAAAATATGGAGCATCACGATTAATGATAGTTTATGGTCCTACAACCAGCATAACCTGTCTTATCTCATAACCTTCCAATCTTGGACTTTGAGGAACTTTTCCTTCACTAGTCATCTCCTGCTCATAACCAGCAGTCTAATTAGTATTTGATCTTATAAAATAACCCCTTTTTTCCCTGCCCTGGTTTGTACCTTAAGCTACACCTCAACTGTACATTGGCCGTGTAATCTGAAACTGGTAGGGCAGATTTCCAGCAAACCAGATGTTTAAATGTTTCAGACATCAGTTACCCCAAAATCTTTTTCTCAGAGATTCAGACTTAGGTAAAAATCTGGTTTCATTATGCTTGAAGGAAAAAAGGGAAACGCTTACATTCTAACCTCCTGAGCCAGTTTTTGTCTTCTTTGTAGACAGTCATTTAGATTTGTCCTTTCAAAACACAATATTCCAAACTTTGAAACAGTAAATTACAGGCCACGTGTGTGGCATTATCAAGTGATTCGCTGGAATTTCCTTTTAGAAAGTACTCCTTTTCTGGCACAAAATTAAGTAAACTGGGTGGATTTTTACACTGGACCCCATGTTAACCGGCAGATACAATTAAAAACACCACCTAATCTTTAATTCTTAAAATCCTCTTCAAGTACTCTACAAATCAATGCATTGTGGGCATAAAAAAATCTCACAAGTCACAAGGGACCTCCCGTCACTACTTCTCTGAAAAGCTTCGTGCCTTGTGTATTTGTCTTAAGAAAACACCATGAAACGTTAAGAGCAATGTATTTCTAACATTTCCTGAACACTGATGAACAAAACACTACCAAACCCAGGTCCTCTGCGGGAGAAACATTTAATGTACAATGTATTTTTTTAAAGCCGAGAATGTCGAGGGTACCTCTTCAAGGAAAAAACAAAACAAAACAAAAACAAAAGCATCCTATGTGACCTAAAATAATTAAAAATGAAATCCTATAACTAAAGGGGGAGGGGGAACCAAAACGACGCGGCAATTCTGGCCTACTTCCCACTGCAAACAAAGGCAGCGTACCCTAGCTGCTACAGTAAACCACCCTCGGATCCGTGAAAGCAGCCTCCCGGCTCGGAAGCGAAATTTCGGCGTGAAAGGAACCTAGAAATAAATTGAGCTCCGCACGCCGGCGCCTCTCGTCTCGGGAGCACGCACCTCCCAGCCCCGCGCTCAGCAGCTCTCACTATTTAAAGCCGGATCTGGTGTTTAAATGGAGAGGCGGTGACGTAGGCCTGAAAAGCACCTTCCCATCCTGGCAGAGTCTATATTAGAGAGCGGCAATGGCTCTATATAAACAGGGCAGCCAAAGGGAGGAGGACCACAAGGCGCAGGCACTGAAAAGCAGGGTAAGCGGCCGCAGCCATGATGGATCGACCCGAGTCGCCAACGGTACGGGTGTCGGGCGGCTGCGGGCTGCTCTGCGGCGTTTGGGACCGGACAAAAAAAATAAAATAATAACACACCAAACAAAATAAAACAAAAATAAAAAACCACGTGTTTTATTGTTATAATAAAAAAAAAATCAAGAGTTGGGGTGGCCTAGTGATCACATTGCGTTGGTGACTATTGAAAAGGTTATTTTTTTTTTTATGTGACTGCTTTTTGCAAACCTACGTGATCGCAAGTAACCAAAAAAGGGAGCAGCGGGGAAGAAGTAGGCACATTTCAAGGCGAATGCAGGGACACTTGGGCCACTCACTGTAAGGCTTTGTTTGTTCTGGTGCTTTTGCTAGTCGAAGATACCACCGGGGTTTTGCTTCCCCTTCGCCATTTTACCCACTGGGGAGGAACCGAGATAAGTGCTTTCCAACCTTTTTTCTTTTTTTTTCTCTTGTCCTTTTTTTTTTTTTCCTTTTTTTCTTTTTTGGAGGATTAGCAAAACGGGGCCCCCCAGTGCAGGCTTTTCCAAAGCACCCCCTCCAGAGAGAGAGCCCCCGAAGGCACGTCGGACCTTGGCAGCGTCCGAGCGGCTCCCCAGGCGCGGGGCTCGATCCGCGGCCGCACGGAAGGCTGGCCGGGTTCGGGTCCC